CCCTCTCTAATCAACTTTTATCACATTTCATTGCCATGATTTGCATGTTTGTTTCCTCCCTAGACACAGAGCTCCTGGAGGCCAGGGAGGACGGAGACTGCTTCCTGGGGTTGTCACTGTCTCCTGGCACCCCACACAGTAGATGCTCAATAAGTGATTGCTGGATGGGCAAACCGATGAGCAAATGAGTGGTTTGGAGTGTCCCTGCCTAGAGATCTTCAAAGAAGAGCAGACAACCATCTCTTCTGTGCAGTCCAAAGACATTATTCGCCTGCCCAAAGGCTGAGGGCTGTGTGCGATGTTTTCTCAAGGTAACGCAGCTTCTGTAATTAGATTATACCATGATACTGGCTCTGGGTTCTTTTCTTTCATTGCAAACATTTATTGACTACTTCCAGGTCCAAGGTACTGAGCTATTGTTCTCTAAGTCTGTGATCCTATTCTATTATTTAATTCTATGACTCCATGTTGACATAGATGCAACAGTGTCCCCACTGCATTCACTCCTAGGTGAGGTCAGCCAAGGCAGATGGGGAAGAATCCGCACTGTCTAAGCTGAATGGATAAGCTGGCACAATGGATACCCCTGTGTTAATACTCCATATCATCCGGTCCCACTGGGTCTCCTCCCCAGCTAATAAAACACAGCATGTTTGGGTGCCAAAAGCTGCTGCCTATTAATAGGTATTAAAATCTCCAAGTACCTTATGTCTCCCCCTTCTCTCTCCCACTCACCAACCGGTGTGTCAAACTGGGAAGAATTGGTTTGGAGCCAAGCAGTCCTGTGTCCAGTCTTGACTTTGGCACTTATGTTGTGTCTTGGACCTCTCTCAGCAATAGTTGCCTCATCTGTGAAATGGGGCTAGTAATTTGCTTTGCTGAACACCTTCTGGGCAAGGTAATAGGATAGAAGTAAGGCATATAAAGATAGACAAGACACAGCCCCTGCCCTCAAGAAGTTCACACTTTACAAGGGGAGAAGGACATGGAAACAAACATAATATTGTGGAAATTAAGTAAGACAGCATGAGATAAAGAGTCCTAGATCCTTGCCTGGGCTACATGAGGGACTCAGTTCCTTTCCCTCACTTTCTCTCTCTTTTAAGAGTCTTTTTGCTCTTTCCATTCCCAATGAATTCCATCCCACTAGTTTGGGAGGTTGCTGAGGGTCAATTTGAAGGGTCCAAACTTCCTTCTTCCCTTCCAGCCCACACCTCCCTGCCACAGACATGTGCATGTGCCTCCCCATCGCTGGGCACAGTTCTACCAGAGGAGAAAGACTCTCAGACATGAGCTTCTGAGCCTGGCACCAAGACCTGCCCTAATTTCCCTACAACCTACCAGTCCAACAATATCTCCCTCTCCTCCAGGTTATAAACTCTTCACTCTAACCATTGCAATCTACTCTCTGTTGCCCAAACTCGCCATTCATTAATGAATTCAGCCATTCATAAAACACATATGTGATGTTAATTTTATGTAGGTCAGTTTGACTGGGCTAAAGGATGCCCAGATAGCTGGTAAAACATTGTTTCTGGGTGTGTCTGTGAGGGCGTTTCTGGAAGAGATTAGCATTTGATTGGTAGACTGAGTAAAGAAGATCACCCTCACCAATGCAGGTGGCCATCATCCAATCTGTGAGGGCTGAATAGAACAAAATTGTGGAGGAGGGGTGAATTTGCTCTCTGTTTGAACTGGACCATCCATCTTCCCCTGCCGTTGGACACTGACATTGGCACTCCTGGTTCTCGGTCCTTTGGACTCAGACTGGGACTTACACCACCAGCCCCCCATTCTTGGGCCTTTAGACTTGTACTGGGGTCTGCACCATTGGCTCCTCTGGTTCTCAGGCCTTCAGACTCTGAATAAATTACTCCACTGGCTCTCCTGGTTCTCCAGCTTACAGATGGCAGACTGTGGGAATTCTGAGCCTCCATAATCTCGAGAGCCAATTCCTATAATAAATCTCCATATGTATACTCTATTGGTTCTGTTTCTGTGGAGAACCCTGACTAATAAAATGTTTTAAGTGTCCAGGAAGGCCCAGGCACTGTATTCCTTGTCAGGGCTACACAGATGAATTAAAAGATGGGATAATGTAGTGGTTAAAATCAGATACATTGGCATAGGACAGACCTGAATTCAAATCTCGGTTTTGCCATTTGTCCGTGTATGACCTTGCATGAGTCACTGTACCTCTGTACAGTGGGCCTCTGCTTCTCTCTTCTGAGAAATGGTGATAATAATAGGGTTATTGTGCAAATTAAGTGAGAGCTTAATCTGTAGGGCATTTGGTAACAGTGCTGATACAGCACATACACAGTAAAAACTGGCTGCAATGGTTTGTAGCAAACCACACTTTGTATCTTAGGTTGGATTTCCCAGAAGCTGATCCTGAGACAGAGATTCAAGTAAAAGGGATTTATTAAAAAGTGATGAGGGTGGGGAGGAGGGAAAGGGGGTGGGGAAGTGGGACCTGGAAGGGAATGAGGCCAAACAAACGGGTGGAACCAAGCCATCTTGTGGAGGGCAACTTGGGCTCAGAGGGCTGGAGTACTGATGCCCCCATCTTTGTCAGTCATCCATTAAGGGCTGGGGGCAGGGGTGGGGGAGCGAGGACATGGGGGAACATTTCCAGGTGCTTCTAGCACTCCCTGCACCTGGCCAAGTCCCGTCAGCCCCAGGCATCAGAGGGCTGCTGGGAGAGAGAGCACACTGGGAGTCAGTAGGCACAAAAATGGTAAAGGGGTTCGAGAAGAAATGTGCAGGACAGTCTCTGCCCGCAAGAGGCTGGGGGCCTAGGAGAGGAGGACAGACGTGAGTAAATCACTACCATCTGAGTGTTGTTCCAGGAACAGCTGCACCGCAGGACGCGGCGGCGCGGGGCAAGGGGTGGAGGTGAGGGTGGGGAGCGGGGCCTGGAGAGGCGTCACTTAAGAGAAATACAGCTGGTTGAAAAGAGGAAGGCCATTCCAGGCAGCGGGACGAGCACACACAAAGGCAGTGACCTGCGGTAGTCTGCGCACACTAGCTCCGGGAGAACGTAGCAGGCGCGAGCTGCACGGTCCAGCGCGCCCCTCCGGGCGGCTTCCGCGCCTGCGCCTTCGCGCGAGGCCCCGGCTCCGCCCCTCCTGGCCCGTCTCCGACCGCCCTTCCCGCCGAGACCCGCCCCGGGCCATCCTCCAGGAAGCCTTCCGTGTCTATTCCAGCTCCCATGACTCTCTCCGGAACTCATGGCGTTTACTGCCGAGGCTATTCGGTGTTTACTCATGTAATCGTTTAGTTACACGCATCCTTACCGTCTGTGACGTTGTTATTTAACTTGGCATGTAAATCCTGTCTCCCGTGGCCTAATTTTAAGTTTCCTGAGAGTGGTAACTGTATATTTTTATTCTTTATATTCTCCCATATGGCACGCAGCATTAGTGGACATAAGGGTATAAGATACTGAGTGACTGAATGAATCTAGTCTACTTTGAGGCTTATTAAATTCTACTAGGCTCGCCCCTACAGTTCTTATGTGTTCTAAGATTACTTCTAAAGTCTAGACTTAGGGTTTTTTTTCAAGCTGGTCACATATAGGTTTTGATGGGAGTTACCACGGAAACAAGCTGGGTCCTAAGGGTGAATTTTAAGGTCACACACTCAATTTCTTTTAGCCCCTCTCCAACCCCTACCCTGGTCAGCCACTTGATTGACATTAGGCCATTGGGCTCTCTGGGCTCCTGCCCTTCCAACTGTCCTACTCAAATACTCCATTAAACAATTGTGAAAAACTATGTACCCCTTCCACATTTCTTAAGTCAACAGCTAACATTTTTAATCATAAGTTTAAATATTGCAAAGGGTATATTTTCCAGGGAATTGTAAATACTTACATATTAAGTCACATCACTCTTTTAAATGTGACAGATGGAACATAATACCGTAGCACTTTCCTATCCATTAACACCCTTTTAATAAGTGAACAAGCCTTTTAACCAGTCAGCAAATTTACATCGTTTCTTTTTAGTTCCTTTTTCCATTCCACTTTCCCTAGAGTTTTATCCTAATATTTTTTTCATTGTATCACTTCTTTTGTATTTTATTGTATTTTTTGGAAAGTCTTTTATTGTATATCTCTGTAACAAAAACATGTATATAAATTGAAATTTATTTCCTGTGACCATGAGATTCTTGTGTTAAAAACAGTTATTCTGCAGGGGGTTTATAATTACAATTATTACAACTCACAATTAATCAAAACTACAAATATTGATGATGATTAAACAGAAAAGTACTTTTATTGAAAATTCATATTTTAATAAGATAGAAAGGGCTGATTTTTATTTCCCATTGACTTTTGTTTGGCAGCTCTAGGAAGAGCACCCTGGTCTGGGTCAGGGTGGGTGAGAGAGCTCCATCTTTCTCTGTCTAGTGGGAGAAGGGTGGTTTGTTAAGGAAGCAGGTGGAAAAGGAGAAGAGTGTTCTCAGGCAGATTCATTTTAGTCAGGGACACGTGACTTCTGGAAATTGATCCCCTTAAAACTTGGTCCTGCCCACACGCCCCTGGGAAAGTTTACATGTTCAGCCAGGGGTATGCAAACCATAAGCTATTAAAGAAAGACTTATCTTGGTTTCTCATTCTTCAAAATAGGGGTCCCAGAATGGGAGAAATGTGAGTCTGAATGTCCTTGTAACTCTGATGGTTACATTTCCAACCCTCCCCCTGCTGAGCTCCACATCTTATGCATAAGAGCAAGACAGGAACTCAGATTACTTCCAGATCTCTGTAGGTTTGTGGCTCTGAGGAGAGTATCTGAATATTCAAAGAATATTGGCAAAGAAGCAGCCTAGATTCAAAATTAAGAAAACGTGGTTTTTATTTTTCCATTTCATGGAAGCACCATCTTTGTCTCCAGATAGTTCCCAGCATAGGCCACCAGGTGGCAGCAGAGAACACAGTGCCGCCCGCACTGCCCCAGGAGTCCCAGGTATGGGGAAGAGGAGGTGGGAGGCTGGTAGCAGGGAGAGGACTGAACACGAGGTAGAGCTGTGTGCTTCAGCTCTGAGAGAAAAAAGGAGGGGAAATGTGAGGACTGAGTATGGATCTCAAGAGGGGGCAGAAAATATTGGGAATGACACTTCAGGGTTCAGAATAAAATTGAAAGAATGAGGAAGGGAATAAGGAGTCAGGCTAAATTGGGGAGAATTCAGGGGAATCAGAAGGGTAGAGATGGGCTTGGGTACACTCTGCCTGGAGGCCCAGGACGCCTCTAGGGAATCCCCTTATCTGTACTCTTCCCGGGGTGGGTCAAGGTCTGGCTCCTCCAGAGATCTGTGGTCCACCTCAGGGGCAGGAGGCCAGGGGTTTTCTGGAGGCTGGGGTCCTGCCGGCCAGGGGTCATCTGGCCGGGGAGGTTGAGGGGGATCGTTTGTAGGCGGCTGAGGAGGCCAGACTCCAGATTCAGGCAGGTCTCTCCAGGGATGATTGGGGCCTGGAGGTGGGGGGTCCTCAAAGACAGGGGGTACCCCTGGCCAGGGGTCACCGGGGATTGGGGGGCCATGAGGCAATGGTGGGGAGCCCTCCTCCTCTCGGGCCTCTGTGTGTGGGAGAGAGGGGTGGTCTCCGCTGCCCGAGATGCCTATAAAGGAGGAAGGAGAAAGGTAAGAGGTGGTGAAGGCCAGATCCCCACCCCCTGCCCCCAGCTACAGACCAGGGGGCATAGCCTCTCTGGGATGGACCCCAGCCTGAGCTGATCCCACAAACAGACCTCAAAAGTAACTCTCAAAGAGCTCTCCACACATTTACAAAATGCCGAAGTGATCTTAAAATGACATGAAAACTCTGTCCTGAACCATTAACTTGACCAACTTTAAACTGACCAAACCCTTCAAATAAGCTCCCTCCAGCCCTGGCTGGAACACCCCAGTGGCATGGCCCCTATGCTGGTCTGCAGCCCCAAAGTGGTCTACACCTCAGCCTCATATGACACCCAGACCCCACCCCTACAATGACCTCTACCCTCAACACAGACCTCAGCTCCAATGACTACTCGACTCACATCTGACTTCTGATCTAAATCGCCACATGCAGCTACACCTGAACCAGCAAAACATTTATTCTGAGCTAAATGCACCTTCTCGCATCACCTGCATCTCATTAACTCTTCCCCTTGTGAATTCTCAGAATGTTCTCCATCCCTACGCATCCAACTCACCCCCTTCCTTCTTTGTGGTCACCTTCGCCTCATCTTGACCATCCCCCATCACCCCAAATTGCACTCCTGGCCTCTATTCCAAGCTCACCTCCGGCGTACAGGCAAAGGACCAGGACCCCCAGTAGCTTCCAGTTGAGCATCATGGCTGTCTCCTGAACCCCCAAAGTTGGGGGTGGGCTGAGTCTGGGTAACTGGGAACCCCAAGAGGCTTTATATGAGAGGAGGGAGAGGAGGAGGCCAGTCTCTGGGGAGGGGCCAGCCCAGTGACACAAGGAATCTCATCAGAACCTAACTGGTCAAACCTGTTTGGAAGGCCACGGCTGATGTGTAATCTCTGAGGCTGGCGTCCCTCATTTCAGTCCCCCAGCTCAGGACCCAGCCACCCTGGCTCTATCGATGACCCCAACCTTGATCACCCCACCTTTGTTTTCAGGTGCTCCTCCATACACACCCTGCAGGAATCAATACCCACGCATCATCTCCATAATCACAGAGACTTCCACCAAGCCATTGGAAGCCAAGGAATGGGAGCAAAGCACGCGTGGGGAAGCAGTGTAATTACATGGGCCAGGAGGCAGGACGCCGGGCGGGGGGCCGGGGGGGGGGAGTTGCTCACTTTGAATACCTGGGATGCAACTAGGACAGTCTCAGCTAGTCCACTGAACCTCCCCCACCCTTACACCCAACTTTGAACCCTCCCCCTCCGGGCTCAGTTCTTTCCCTGGAACTTCTGCTCTCCTCAGGACCCAGCCACGCTGCTCCCCAGCACATGCCTTCTTCAGGCACGCAGGGGGCCTCCCAAGCAGTGACAACTGAGGAATTTCATCAGGAGCCACCTGGGGTGACTGCAGATAAGGAAGGAAATATGAGGACATCCTGATTCCTTCTCCCCACCCCTGAGCTGGCTCCATCAGTCACGGCCCAGAGGCCCAGGAAGAAGCTGCCTCCGCTCCCTGTCATCTCAGCCTCTTCCTCTTCCCTCTGGAATCCTCCTCACTGCCCCCCGGGCCCCCTCCCCTGGTCCTGGATGCCAACTCTCTATGCCCACCCCCTCCCCCCATCTTTTAGGTCTCAGTCCGTCTTGTCTAAGTCGCTCAGAGATCCCCCTAGAACTTCTTCCTTGGGAAGGACTCCTCTGCCTGGAGGTCCAGTGAGCCTCTCAGACACAATATGTCCAAAACAAAACTCACTTCCTCCCCAAGTTGTTCCTCATGGTAAGGAACACCACTGTCCCTCTGTGGCTCACAGGGCAGGCTGCATTCCTCTCCTCCCCTGCCCCACCCCACCCCATTCTGGAGCGCCCCACCCTGGAGCACCATCCCTCCCCAGCCTCCCGCAACACTGTCCTAATTGGTCTCCCTGCTCCCACTCTTCATCCCTTCCTCACACCCAAACCTGGCCTCCACAGCCAGCCAAGGTATCTCTTAAAAACATAAATCCAGCTGTGTGGCTGCTTCCCTGTTTAAAAAGTACTCCAAGGGCTTTCTATTGACTTAGAAGAAAATCCAAACCCTGCCAGGTCTTGGCCTCTCCCTGCAGCCTCTCCAGGCTGGAGAGGAGGGAGGCCTCTCCCCCATCACTCTCCCTCCTGCCCTCTGCAGGAACTTTTCTCCCAGGTGGTCACACAGCTTGCTCCTCACTCCACTAAGGTCTTAGCACAATGTCCCCTCTTCAGAGAGGCCTTTCCCCTCATCTAATGCTGCCCCTACCCACAGAGTCAGTTTCTATCTCATCATTGTAATTTATTTTCTCTTCATAGCACTTGCTACTGTCTGAAATGCTCTTTCATTGAGGTACTTGTCCATCGTCTGTCTGTCCCACTAGGATGGATGCGTCATGGGAGCAGGGACCTGCCTGTCAGCTGCCACTGTAGCCTTGAGCTAGGACACCACCGGGCTCTAAGATTCCCGTTGAACGAGTGAATGCTTTATCATCCTCACCCCTGGCACTGATCATCTTCCAGAGGTAAAGAGTTTTTTTTGGTGAAGAAATTGGCCCTGAGCTAACATCTACTGCCAATCTTCCTCTTCTTGATTGAGGAAGGTTGTCACTGAGCTAACATCTGTGCCAATCTTCCTTTATTTTGTATGTGAGACACCGCCACAGCATGGCTTGATGAACTGTGTGTCAGTCCACGCCCAGGATCTGAACCTGCAAACCCTGGGCCGCCAAAGCAGAGCACGTGAACTTAACCACTAGGCCACCAGGCCCACCCTGAGCAGTAAAAAGAGTTTTAAAACAAAAGTTGAGAATAAAGAAAACCTGGAGCTTCTGAAAAAACTTCCCAAGCAGCCTAGGAAAGGAGTTTTGAAAGAGGTACCATCTAGAGAGAGAGCTGTGTGTGGGACCACTTCTCACACTCCCCTGAAGAGAGACTTCCCTTATATTCCCAGAGATAACATGTCCAAACAACGGCTCCTACTGTAGTCATCTTTATTGAGCCACAGCAGAATTCACAGACATCTTGGTGCCTGGTGTCCCGAGGGCAGCTGGATGGGGAAGAGGGCTGGGCTGGCCCCCCACCACCACCCCACTTCTCCACGAGCCTCCCGGTCCCCCTTGAGCTCCCAGCTGCTCAGTGCACCCGCCCAGCTACTCAGCAGGAGACTGGAGCAGGAGAGTTCTGGTTGTCTCCTTGAGAAACAGCTTCCTCTTTGGAAATGGCCTCACTCAGGCCCTGCAGGTCATCAAGCAGGATAGAGAGGGATCCTGGGAAAGAAGACCCCAAGGGATAAGAGCTGGACAAGAGAAGGCTGTCTTGATTACTGTGCAGAGGAACCTTCTCTGAGAGAGAAGGTTCCCTGGTCCAAGGCGGGGGTGGAGAGAAGAGGCTGTGGGCCTCCAACGCTCACAGAGAACAAGGCTTGGGTCCTCAAGAGTATCTGGGGGAGAGGTTCCTGAAGAGAGTGTGTGTGTGTGTGTGTGGGTGTGTGTCCCCATTTGTCTCCTCCTACCTAGACCATTACCTTTTATGGACTCCCTGGTGGAGGCTGCCGCTGCTGGAGGGGCAGGTGCTGAAGACCCTGGGGGCCTGGGGCTGGACTCCGCAGACTTCCCCTTATCCAGCAGGGAAGGAAGAACTGCCAACAGTCGCTGCTGCTTGTAACGGGAGAGGAGACCCTCCTGCCGCAAGGTGGCCTGGGAAGGAGAGGGTTAAAGGCCACCTCGCCCGGGCAGAGCCTCCCCTTTCCACACCTCTGCCCCAACCAGCGCAAGCGCCCAGTCTCTGCTGTCCCCTACCAGCATGAGGTTCTTGTCCCTCTCCAGCTCCTGCAGGCGCTGGGTCAGCCGCAGCCCCTCCTCCTTCCGAGCCTCGTCCTGCAGGCGCCTGAGCTCCTGGTTCCGCTCCTTTTCCCGGGTGGCTTTGCGCTGGATTTGACGCAGTGAGACCACTGTGGTGAAGCCAGGGCACAGAGGGGACAGGTGTGGGGCAGCCCAGGGGCAGTGAGGCAGCATGGAAACAACACTGGAATGACAGGCAGGAACGCTGGGCCCCCAGCTCTGTGACGTGGGGAAGCCACTTATGCTCTGTGGCTCTCAGTCTCTTGTGTACAGTGGGAGGGCGGGCTGGTGCTCTAGGATCTATGAATCTGTGAAGCCAAAGTACCGTCCCCATCCCCGAAGCTTCCCAGAGTCCCTTAGGGGAAATCTGAATAGGGACTGGACATTAGATTTTGTGCAATTAATGTTCATTTTCTTAAAATGCGACAATGGTATTGAAGTTATATAGGAAAATTTCCTCTTTGTGGGAGATGCAGCTGATGTTTGCAACTTACTTTAAATGATTCCAAAAAATGTGCATATTGATGTGTGTGTATATACAGATAGAGAGGAATGTGACAAGGTTAGAAACTGCTGCATCTAGTTGGAGAAGGCAGGGGAGTATCCATTACATGATTCTTCTAAAGTTGTCTAGGTGTTAGAAGTTCTTCCCAATACAAAGTCGGGGGTAATCATGGGTGTGAGATGTCAGGATGGCGGTTGCCTTTGTGGAGGGGAGTGACCAGGAGGGGCTCCGGGGCTGGTCACATGCTGTTGCTTGATCTGAGTGTTGGCTGTACAGCTGTGTACACCACCTGAGAATTCATCTGTGCCATTTCTTGATAACTTCGTTAATTGCATACTTTAAAAAAAGCTTAAAAAAATTTTTTTAAATAACCTTATGTCTCAACACTTCCTTGTTCCTGGAAGCCCTGTCCACCCTGGCAAATCTCACCGGCCTTGGCATGCTCCCGCCGAGCCTCGTTCAGTCTCCTTTCTGTTTCTGAGAGCTGCTCCCTCAGGTGAGTTTCCACTTCGGCCACTTTCTCTTGCAGAGCTGGGGTGAGGTGCAGATGGGGTGTGGCATGGGGTGCTGTGGTTTGTGGTTCCCACCCCACCCTCCATGGGTTTGCCCATTTCCCCTCCTGCACACCTTGCCCGTAGATCTCCTGCTGCTGGGTCAGCTCCTGCCGGAGACTGGCGGCCTCCGCCGTGCTCTCCTGCTGGCCCTGACGAGCCGCTTCCAGCTGCAGCCCCACACTGGCCAGGGACTCCTGGGTCCGCTGCAGCTCCCGCTCCAGCTGCTGGGTGACTTCGTTCAGCTTCTGCCTCTCTGCCTCCCCTGGGAAGAGGAGGTGCTCACTCAGGCCTCTCCTTGCCCTGGAGGCCAGCTCTTCCCTCCTTCTCTCCATCCCCAACACACTGGATTCTGGCCCCTGCTCGAGCTCAGTGAGTCAGGACCAGGCATACCTTGCTCCCGGGCCCGGCCCACCTCCTGCTGCAGGATGTGGGCACTCAGCTGCAGTTCTGCATCCAGGCGGTTCCGTTCTTCCCGCAGCTGCTCCAACTCAAGGCTCACATCTGTGGCCGGTGGGGGTGGGAGGCAGCTGAGACAGGAAGAGAAACAGAGTCAGGGAAACTCACCCACCTGCCTGACCCCTAAGCTATCCCTCCTCGGTCCTCACTGTTTGGGTCCCAGCAGCCAACATCTTAAAGCCCCACTCCCCTCCCCGATCCATCTGCAAGTGCCCCGAATTTCACCTCTCCTGGCGCAGCTGAGCAAGGGCCAGTTTTCGAGCCATCAGGCCTGGGGGAGAAAAGGCAGAAAGCTACAGAGAGATGAGTTTGAGGAGGAGAAAAGGATAGACTAGGGAGTAAGGGAAAAAGATGCTTGGACCAGTGAGAAGGAGGCAGGAGGACGCAGGTGGGATGAGAGAGGGCTGGTGGGGCAGGGGCAGGGCCAGGGTGCAGCTGGCAGTTGCCCTACCCACCCCGAATGGTGTGAACCTTGCGGACAGCATAGCTGACTCGGCTGCTGAGGCTGGGCAGCCGGGCTGCGGCCCGCTCCACCTTGGCCATGGTGCTCTGGAGCCAGGTCTGAAAGCTGGAGAAGGCACAAGGTTACTGACCCTCCAACCCCACCTCCTTGCCAAAAGGACTTAACTCCCTCTGCCCTGTCCTGCTAGGTACATGAGGAAAGCAAACCAGAAGTCAGAGCAGAGAAAAGAGAAGCTGAGGCAAGGGCAGGGGCCCCAACTCATGTCTGAGCTCCTCAGCCAATAAAAGAAAAAAACCTGAGAGCTTAAGCCCTTTAGTGACTGTCAGGTAACAATGATGCAGTTGCTCATGAGAAAAGTACAGCTCTTCCTGGTCCCAAAACCTATACAGTAAGCTTCTCATGTGGATCCTAGCCATCAGCATCTTTAATAACAGCCCTGCACTAGAAACTATGATGAGGGTCCTGGGGTCAGACCTTATGTGGACCAGATGCCACAGCACAGTAAAGGGTTCAGTGAAAATGACTCTACGGGAGTGAAAACAAGTGCTGTACGGCTGCCTAATCTCCAGCTCATCTAGACTTCTTCTCCAGGTTTTGGGACTCTCCTGGCACTGGATGGGGTGTATGAAGTTCTGTGCATTTTTCTAAGGAAAAAAGCCCACAGCTTCCAACAGTTTTGTAAGGGGCCCTTGCCCCAAGAAGGCATTAAATGACTGTGTATCTTTTCAAACAACCTGAGAAACTTATTTCTCACAACCTATTCTTTGGTCACTATTATGCATCAGAGATCAAAGTTATCCTCTCCAACAATTCCCTGACACCAGTGGAGGCCAGGCCCATGTGATTTATCAGTGGGCGGTGCCCGAAGCAGGGGCAATGTGGCTCATGAGAGCTGAGAAGCCTAACCAGGCCCCCAGGGAGGAGGCCCAGGAGCATCCAGGGGCAGGGCAGGAACTCCCCAGGAGAGTCCAAGTCTGTGCCAACAGAAAAACACGCGGCCCACGTGGGCTGCGGTTCATATCCCTAGCAGCACAGCAGGGATCACTTTTATCTGAAAACTGTTCGAGTGGGTGCTTCCAACACCTACTGTGGCTCTTACAAAAGCCATTTTCTGGTAAGGTTCCCAAGCCATCTAGAGGCTATCTAACAAACCTGGCAACAGTCCAAGTTTGGGTTATTTTAAGCCTGGTGGACTTTCTGGCAATAAATCATTAGCAAGAACCACTGCAGTGATGTCCTGGTACCAAAGTAAAACCCTGTCCACAGTGTTTCTCTCTGTTGTCCTAGAGGTAGGAGGTACATGCGATGGACTGAATCTGGGTGTGGTTCATCATAATTAGCCTCTCTTATCCTTTGAACTTTTTCATAATTTTTTCAAGTTAAATTAGTCCCCATGGCCCAATTCAACAGAAGGGGATGGTGGGCAAGGACCCATCCTGCATCACAATTTTGCTAAACCAAAAACTGTTATGCGATCCATCCAGAGGAGCCTCGTGGTTAACAGTAGACATTTACAGAGCACAGACGACAAGCCAGGCACTGTGCTGAGATCTCTACGTGGACCCCCTCAGTACTCCAGTGTCCACGGCTGAGGAGGGGCTGTTACCAGTGCAAAGCCTGTGCTTCTCCTCAGAGGGCTTTCTAAAGGTTATGTAACAAGAGTTGGGAAGGAAACTAGGAAGTTGGTATAAGAGACACAGGCTTCCAATTGATCGAGAAGGAAACTGCTATACATTTTAGATGGAATATCAAGTACACCAGTAGGTGTACAGCTTTAAAATAGAGATTAAATTTTTTTCCAACTACTCAGGGCATGCCTGTAAAATTTTAACGAAAGAAAGAAAGACCAAGTATCCACACTCTCTACCCTCGGACAACTCTGAAGGTGGACATCCTCTCAGGTGCTCTGTTTAGCTCAAGCTGGTACTAGACTGAACTCCAGGAAGAAGTGATGCCTCACCTCCAGCCAAGGTCAGTGGGAGTCATAACAAGTGACCCTGGTGTGAACGTGGAGGGGTTGCCCCGGGGAAAAACAAACACAGGGACTTACACAGGGCTAACTACCTCTGCCCAGCATCCTCCAGTAGCCAGCTCTCCAGCCCCTCTTGCCTGAGGCTCTTAAACTCCAAAGTGCCTGGGAAGCTGGGGAAGCAGAAATACTACTCCACCCCACCCACCTCCCAGATACCTGCTGACAGCACTGGCCACAAGCTTCAGCTGCTCCTCCGCCGAGGCTGCCTGCTGCTGCCGCCGGCGCTGGGCCTCCTGAGCACGGCTCAGCTCCATCTGCAGGGCCTGGGAAGGATGCGGTAAAGAGAAGGGTCCCCTCCCCAGGGTCCTGGCCCACAGACCGGCGCTAGGGATTTCCCTGGCCTCCCTTAGACTCCGTCTGTCTCAGACAGACCTTGGCACCCATCCGCTCCACCTCCACCTCTGCGGCTTTGTCCTGCAGGGAGCGCTGCAGGATGGCCTGCTCCTGGCTCTGGGCTGCAGCTCTTTCCTGGAGCTCTGCTACCTGGGTGAGGAGAGGAAGACGGGCAGGGCACAGCTAGAGCAGCAAGCTGGAGGGGGTCACTGGAATGAAGGGGCAGGTGCAGAGATCTCTGCAAGAATGCCATGCAGGGAGACAAGAGGCTTGGGTTCCCCAGAATGGAGTCTGAGTCCAGGTTTCCTTCCAGAAGCATGTTCCATGTGCCCACACCTTGAGAAAGTGCCCAGTGACCCACCCACAAGGACCCACCGCCTCTGCCCACGCCACCTATCCTTAGACACTGTCACCTCCTCAGAGAGGCCGTTCCTGACCATCCTACCTAAGGCGGGCCCACCCCACGGTCTCTCTCTGTCACAGGATCTTTCACATTTTCCTTTATAGGGCATATAACTACCTGACATTATCTTATTGTTTACTTGCCTATTATGTGTCTCCCGCTCCAGAATGTAAGCTCCTTAGAGCAGGTATTTGTCTGTCTGCATTCAGGGCTGTGTTCCCAGCAGGTGGTAACCACTCAGTAAATATTTGTTGAATGAATGTCATCCCTTATGTAAGAAGCAAGGAGCTGGGGGGAGAATATGGGGAGAAACGGGGTGCCAAGCGACCTGTCCCTTCAGCTGCTCCCTGCATCCTCTGTGCTCCAGCTCTTGGGCCTTCATCTGCACCATGAGGGCAAACACCTTCTCCCGCCAGCCCTGCAGCAGGGACTGGCACTTCCTGGTGAACTCGGGCTCCAGGGAATCTGAAGGTTGAACCTGTGAGGTGGAGGAACAGGGGAAAGTGTGGGTTCCTGGGGTGGGAGAGGAAGGAGGTGTTTTCTGTTTTCTGTCCTGCCCAAGCAACAGGAGCCACAGCAAGAAGAGGTGTTCAAGGAAAGAAAGATCCCAGCAGGTTCTGGCAGCACACCAACTCCTCCCACTCACAGGGAGGCGCCTGGGGGGCCTACCTTCCTGGCCAGCTCCTCCTCCTGCATGGAGAGGATGTGCATGAGGCTCTGCACGCGCACCTGCAGCAGCTCTGCCGTGGTCTGCAGGCCATCCCGGTCCTCCTGCAAGTGCTGCAGGTGGGAGAGGGAGGGAGAGGGAGGGAGAGGGAGCAGCCGCCTCCGTAGGGCCCCTGTGCCATGTCCTCAGGCAGCAGCCAGTCTGCACCCTCTTGACGGTAATGCCTTCTCTCCTGGGGACTGTGCTCTTCTCCAGGGGCCACCCCTCTCCCAGGACCTGATCCTTGAGCCCTCCTGTCCCACCTCCCGCACAGATGCACCCTGCACTCTCTCACCTGCACAGTTTCTAGAAGCTCCTGTCTCTCTGATTCCCACGTCTGGCTGTGAACCTCAGGAGGGACTTGTTCCCCCACGTATCTCCTTAGATTCTCAACCAAGGTCACCTGAGCCTCCAGGTCTTCTTGGGTCTTGCTGGGGTTGGGGTAGGAATAGGGGTGCCATCAGTGGGGCACCCTAGAGACTTGCCCCACCCACAACCCCCTTTGGCCACCCCCTACCCTCACTTACCTCAGCTGCTTCCGCAGCAGCTCAGCCTCCCTCTGGGCCACAGCCAGCTCCTTGGCTTCTCCTGCCCTCTTGGTTTCCAGATTATTCAGAGACTTCTCCAAGCCCTCGGCTTTGTTAGTCAAACTGGACAGAGCCTCCTGGTGAGCCTGCGTCAAGGAGGAGAGCTGCGGAGAGAAGACAGGGCTCAGCAGGGGCCAGCTCACTCCCAAATCTGGGCTTTCCAAATCCCTCCTGCTTTGGCCCTGTCCCCTCAGTCCCACTTTCCGTGACCTTAGGCAACAACCCAACAAGTCACCCAACTGCGCGTGGCAAAATGGAGACTCACTCTCTCCCATTACCCTCCAATCCATCAGCAGTTCCTGTCAGGTCTCCTCCCAAAACATATCTTCACCTCTCTCCATCTCCAATGCCACCAACTGAGGTAAGCTGCCCTCACTTCTGGCCTGGACAACAGCAATAATCTCCTGACCAGTCTTTAAAAACCTCTAGTGGCTTACCATGGCATTCAGACCAAAACTCAGCTTCTCTCCTTGGCCTGCCAAGCCCATTGCCCCTTGGCCTCTGCCCACCTCCCTGAGCCCATCTCCCACCGCTCTCCCACTGCCCACTCTGCTCCAGCCACAATGCCATCCCTTCTTCACCCCAACAAGCCAGCTCTTTCCCACCTCAGAGTCTAGCTGAAGGCTTGGCCTCCCCAGCTCCTCAGATCCTGGGTGATGTCACCTCCTCAGAAAGGCCTCCCTGGGCCCTCCAATCCCCATCCACAACCCACTGTGTCCTATCACCTGGTCATGGCCTTCCAGCACTTACTATCACCTAAAGTGAACTTACTTCTGCATGTGCTTACTATCTGCCACACCCCATTCGAAAGGAAGCTCTAGGAAGCTTGTCCTTTTCTCTCTGCACCTCAAACAGTGGTAATGGGGTCAGACACACTGAAGGAGTCGTGGGACGGCCAGTGAAGGAGGGAGAGTGGCCGCCCTGATTTCCGGTCCGTCCCCTTCTAGCCTGATCTCCGTACCACAAAGTGATCACTTAGGACTTAAATCACAAAACTGGTCTTTTTAGACATAAAATACAAATCTGATCATGTCATTCCCTGTTTAAAACCTTTCAACGGTTGCTCATTGCTCTTAAGGTAAAGTATAAAGTTCTGAACAGGCCCGAGGCCTCGCAGTCCACACACCACCCAGAGCCCCTCTGGCCTCCTGCCGTCCCCCATGGTGCCAAGTGTCACTTCAGCTCCCATCGCCTCCCCAACACGCCTCCTCACCAGCCAACTCCTATTCAGTACAGATGTCAACTCCTTATCATTAAGCACCTTTCACGAATCTAAAGGCCTGTTATACTGTCCTTTGAACTATCTCCTTTGTCCATTTTCTGGCTGGATTGCTGTCTTTCCCTCATCAATTTCTAGGCACACATTATATAGTAAGGATATTAGCCTTTTCGTGTGATATGAGCTGTAAATATTCTTCCCTAGTTTATCATTTGTCCTTTAATTTTACTTTTATTTTGTCATTCCTAAGTTTAGTATTATAAAGTCAATGTATTGATATTTTCTTTAATGGCTCTGGATTTTGATTCATATGTAAAGGCCTTCCCCATCCCGAGGTTATAAAGGAATTCACCCATGTTTTCTTCCAGTGTCTTTATGGTTTCATTTCTTAACATGTCGACTGGTTAGGGTGGCCTTCCCCAACCCCCTAGCAGGTGAGAACTCCCTTATCTTTCTCCTTCATGGCACTTCTCCCAATTGCAATGAAGTAGGATTAAATTAAGCATTGAATGTACATGTCCCCAACTAGGCTATCGGCTCCACCCACACGGACTCAGGCTGATTTGCTCACCCCAGAGTCCCAGCTCCTGTCTCAGGGATGGCAGAGTCAGCGCTGATAAAAGGTTGTTGATGGGGCCAGCCCGGTGGCACATCGGTTAAGAGTGCGCGCCCCACTGCGGCGGCCCGGGGTTCGCAGGTTCGGGTCCTGGGCGTGCACTGACGCACCACTTGTTAAGCCATGCTGTGGCGGCGTCTCATATAAAGTGGAGGAAGATGGGCACGGATGTTAGCCCGGGGCCAATCTTTCTCAGCAAAAAGAGAAAGATTGGCATTGGATGTTAGCTCAGGGCTGGTCTTCCTCACAAAAAAAAAAAGGTTGCTGACTGAGTAATATTTCCTTCCCAGTCCTCCTTAGGACCCCACTCCCAACTTTCTCACCCCTCCACCAAGGCTCCCAGGTGAATTGGGTACCTGGAGCAAAGTGGGAAGACAGATTACTTCCTACTGGAAGGGGAAGGAGGGCTTCAAGTGGTGTGGGGGTCACCCGAGTCCTGGGAAAAAGTGCAATCTGAGTAAGCCCAAAACACCCAAGTTCTCCCTCTTCCCAGGTCACCTGTTTTTTCGCCTTCACCAAACATCTTCTCATTACTCTACTGCTCATGGGGCCTTCTGGGTGATACCTGTTCTCTGCTGGGAAGCTCCTGCCAGTTCACCATTTTGAAGGTAAACCCTTCCCACCCCCACATTCACCTGTTCTTGGTGCAGCCTCTGAACCTCCTCCAGCTCCCGCTGGTTCCCCTCTTCCAGGTTCTTCCGGACAACCTCGGCCCCAGCCAAGGCAGCACGCAGGCCCTCGGCCTCAGCTCGGCCGGCCTTCTCCGCCCGTGCCAGAGCCTCCAGCTCCATGGCCTGGGCCTCTAGCCTCATCTTCTGCTGCAGCGAGGTCTCCCGCAGGACCCGGACCTCCTCCTCAAGCCGCCGCAGCTCTTGCAGCTGCCGAGAGATCAGCTCAGCCTGCTGGCTCAGGGCCTGCGACCCCTCCATGGGCCTTCAAAGACAGATTAGCACAGGTGAAACCTGTCTCTGGTGCAGGGAGAGTGGCCAAGGGCATAAATGGAGACAGAAGGAGAAGAGGATCCTTCTGTTCCCATGTGGGGAGATGAGGGGGATGAAGCCGGGCCATGGGGATCTCTGCATTTCCCTCACCATCGTCATTCATCCAGGCCCTACTAAGCACATTAGGTCCACTGTCTGGGCTCACAGGACCTAAAGGCTTGCTGAGACCATGGAACGTGATCTCTCTAGAGAGAGCCTATATACAGGCAGATATATTAAACATCAACTGTGCACATCATCAGGCCACACATTCTGAATTGGAGAGGTTGGAAGAACACACAGAGGCTTCTGAATTCCGATTTAAGGGCAAGGAAAAGTTTGAGGGAGGTGCAGAGAAAGAGAAGTCAAGGCTTCCAGTATCAACATGGTGCGGCCAAGAGCTAGTTAAAAGCATTTATTGAGTGTTAGGAGGAGTCTGAGAGAACAGTACAGCAATAAATTGCAAAGTTCCGACCTTTGGAGAACAGAGTCAACTGGTGTCACATAAAGTTTAAACCAGTATAACAAGGCTCTTGACACAGCTCGCTCACTGAGGCCCAGAACCACGGAACTTTTTTTTGAAGTGGCAGGGATCTGTCACTTCAGAGCCTAGAGAAATTAAGTGACTGGCCAAAGGAGCCCCAGCTGGTAGCCAAATGAGCAACAGAAAGTCTCTGTCTCCTGACACCCACTCCAGTGTTCCCCTTTCATCATCGGGCTCCTTCCTCTTTGATGGGGTCCAAGGTAGACCCATCTGCAATTCCACTCTAGGGCAAAATGGCAGAATGACATTCCAGGACATTTGGGAAAAGACACACATGAAACATCAAGAATTTTTATAGACAGTACACCTACAAATAGCATGGCTACCTCCAATGGCATGTACTCTGTCAGAATGAATCCACATACCACAGTACAAGCTACACTCCTTCACACTTCTTCATCTTGCCTTATACTATGTTTATTACAATCAGCTGTTGGTCAGTCTCTCTCTTGGGATTTTAAATTCCTTGAGATAAAGATCTCTCTTATTCATTTTTGTTATCCCCATCCCTAGCATCTAACACACTGCCTTATTACTATTTATGCATTGTAGGCACCAATAGTTGCTTATGTAAAAATGAACAAATTATGGAAGGGCTGAAACAGGGTAACAAATCTATTTCAGTGAAGAAGGGTCACTGGCAAGCAAGCCCAAGAAAACAGTGACAGTGTATCCCTACCTGCCTCTCTGCCCTGGCTCCTGCCCATTGTCAGAAACACCTCGTTCCCACATGATCACTTGAGGTCTCTGGTTGTCTGGCCGCCTTTCTGAGACATCTTGATGGGCTGGGGGTTGGAGCGGGGGAATGTCTGAGACCCAAGTGGGAGCCATTCTTGGCACAGTTGGAAGGGGCCGAGCTTGGAAGTGGGATGGGGGAATCAGCCCAGTGGAACCTGAAGAATCACAAGGACAAGGATGGTCAGCTTCCCAGGGAGAGACAATCACCAGTCCCCTTGCCAGGTCCCACTGACCTGAAGGTCGAAACATCTCCACATTATTTGAAGCCTCTAGATTCAGTGTCCAGCCATCTATGTTCCCCTGGACAATAGGAGAAACAAGGACACTCCAATTCAACTTTCAGGCCACCTTCCAAAGAGAAAGCCCCTACAATAACAAAGTCATAATCCTTAAATAACAGCCAGGTCCACCCAACCCTTAGCTCCTCTTTTCCTACTTCCCAAAAGAAGTAGGAAATACCCAAAGATCACTTGCTTGACCCAACCTGGTTCCTGACAGAACTATGGCAATAACCACGAGATGGAGGGAATTTACTGAGACAGGCTGAGAGGGAGCTCTCTGAGGCTTTACTCATACTTTGGGGATTCTGGGAGTGCCTTTACCCTCCTCCTTAAGTTTCTACAGTCTCTGCCGTTCCTGGTCGGAGGTGAGAAAGGAGGTATGCAGTGCAGGGGTTGTGAGCCCAATCTCCAGAGTTCTCTCCATGGCTCAGCAAGGCCTTGGGGAAGCCCATCCAGACGCCACCAAGCCATGCCTCCTGGGTCCTTCCCTATTAAAGCTCTGGCCCCAGGCCCAGATGAATGTGGCTACATGCAGGGTAGGATGCCTCCCCAGGACCTCTGGGAATCCAGGCAGCCTAGATCCCTTGGCAGAAAAGCCAGCTTCCTGACATCTCATCCAAACCTTTCCAACAACTTTCCTCTCAATTTCTCTCTACTATCCTCTCAGCTTCCATTCCTGTCACCCACCCTCCCCTCTCCAGAGTCCTAGAGCTTAGAGAGGGTCTTCAAGATCTCCCCACCCTCCCACCCGAATTCATCTATTTTCGCCCCGCCGATCTGGGATTTCTATTCCCCTCCCTCCCTACATCCTAATCTGCTTTTTTCCTGAAGGAATTACTCTGCTCCCTCACTCGCACCTTCATCTCTCAACTCAATAGCCTGCTCTCGCCTCCCTGCACTCTAGCCGGCTCTCAGTTCTGCCACCCGATCCCCACTCCCTCAGATACCCTTGCGTCTTCACCCTGCTTGACCCTGAGCTCTAAGACTGTTCCGACAACCTTACCTGTTCTTTTACCCGGCCCCCTTACCCCACTTCCCCTATGGACCCCTGAACCCACCCTCGCACCCCAGCTCAGCCCCTTCCCGCCCCCAACCGACACTTCCAGAACGCCCCTTACCCAGCGCGAGAGCCCACCTCTGTCCTTTGACCACACCCCCTACACCTTGCTCCCGGGCCTGGCCTCCGCCCCTGACCGCGCCTGCGCAAAGCGCGCAGGTTGGCGGGCCGCTCTAAAGCCCGTTTCACCCCGGAAGGAGGAGGGGAAGAGGTGCACGCAGGCGCAGTAGTGTCTGAAGCCGGGCCCAATTAAAGCGTTGGGGCAGCTCCGCGCCCCGGCGGCTCCTCCCAACTCCGGGAACCCGGGAAAACTTGTGAACTAATCAGAAAAAGCGGAAGGCGGGAGATCGGAGAGCCTCCAAGCGCGCCGCCCAATGGAGAGGAGGAGCACAAATAAGCCGGCCAATCAGGAACGGCACGGGGGGCGGGCTCGCTCGGCGCGAAGTTCGGGCCCGGGAATTCCAAAGGCGGGGTCGGCGCTGCCCGCGCGCGGAGGCCGCGCCCCTCCTGGCCCCGGCTTCCTTGCTGTCAAACAGCCGCGGGAGCGCCAGCGCCGGCCGGAGTTCGAGGGGTCCCGGGGCCGCCGAGAGGCTGGCACTGCCTGGAGAGGAGACCCTGCGACTGCACCGCGCGGTAATCCGAAACTGGGCTGGGGCGGGCAGGGAAAAGACTGGGTTTGCCTTGTATGATCTCCGGGAGCTCTTTGCTCTATTTTTATCCCACCCGGAGAAACGGAGGTTTAGATCCGCTTTGTTGGAGCACGTAAGGACTCGTTTGCACTGCCTTTAGGGGATGACAGTGGATTCACTTTCCCACTGGGGTTCAAGCTAACTAGTTATGAGTGAGGGATTGGCCAGAAGAGCAAGGCGCGGGCAAGCAGGAGGATTACTCCATTTGGATAAGCAGGTCTGACAGGAAGAAGCTTCTTTTCTCCAAATTACATTGAGGTGACAAGCTAACATTGCACAGGAGCAGGAACCCCCCCCCCCATACATACATCTACAGTGTATTTCCCTAGACGCTGCCTAATGTATGTTGCCTTGCACAGATTGAAGGCTCCCCGAGTATTTTGCGGCCTGAGGATCCGGTTCAACTAAGGTGCCATAAGACGTGTTGGTTTTTGCACTGCACCGGGACCTTCTCCGAACTTTTCAGTTGCAAAGCTGCTTGACAGCCAATTTTCCATCGTGTGCCTAGGCTCCTTGTCCTCTGAATTTGCACCATTCAGGGAGTGTCCTCAAAGTTGAAATTGCACAAAGCACAGCTCAAGTTTGTATCAGACGGAAAGTAAACTTAGGCCGGCCATGCATCACCCAGGAGTGGGAAAGGTGATGGATTCCTGAAGTGGAAGAGGTGGTGCGGAGGGGGCACCGCCCATGCTGCCCTGCTTCCAGCTGCTGCGCATAGGGGGCGGCAGGGGCGGTGATCTCTACACCTTCCACCCCCCAAGCGGAGCTGGCTGCACCTATCGCTTGGGCCGCAGGGCCGACCTGTGTGATGTGGCCCTGCGGCCCCAGCAGGAGCCCGGCCTCATCTCTGGAGTCCACGCAGAGCTGCACGCTGAATGCCGGGGCGATGACTGGAGGGTCAGCCTGGAGGACCATAGCAGCCAAGGTGAGCAGTGAGCAGGGCAGCCTTGTGCCTAGGCAGTTGCAGTTCTGGGCTGGAATGATTAAGGGACTCCACAAGGACCCTTCCTGCCTCCCAAACTCCCCATCAGGTTTGATGGACAGTTGTAGTCCAGACCTGTCTTCCTACCAGAAATGTGCAGTGTCAGACACTCTGTGGGGCTGACCCTCGATGGCCCCTGTTTAGCTCATACAGGGACTGGGAGGTAGATCCAGGGCCTGGGGCATCATCAGGAAAGTATCACAGTGGGGTTGTTCTGAGGGTATTGGGATCCAAGCTCAGACTTGACTCAGTTTCCAGATTTGCTGAGGCATCTTGTTCCTGTCTTAGGGCCGTTGTGATATGTTGAATTATGTTTTAATGATCTGGGCGTATGTCTTACTCCCTGACTTTGGAGATAGTTACAGCCAGCCTCAGAAGGCCTGACATCACATCTGAGTTCTGCCACTGGCCACTGGTGGCAGACCTGTCAGACCTGGTGGCCCCCTCAGACCTGTCACTTCTCCTCTCTGGGTTTCCTCTTTGGGTAAAATGTCTTTGTGAGGTCTATTTTGGTGTGTGGTAGGGATTGGATAACAGTGGTAGCCAACATTCATGTAGTGCTTACTATTATGAACCAGGCAGATTTAAGTGCATTGAATGTAGGTGGGCATGAATATCATCCCCATTTTACAGGCGAGGGAAATGAGGCACAAAGAGGTTAACTTGTCCAGAGTCACATAGCTGGTAAGTGGTGGAGCTAGGATTTGAACCCAGACAGGCTGAGCTTTGCTGATAGTAACTGTTGAGTTGGGGCTGTTTGAGGGTGAGTATATCTGAGAACTGGACTTCAGTAGAGTGAGGGGAGTCCGCTCCCTCTATGTGCCCTGAGGGAGGGCATAAGAAAAGTAAATCTTGTTCCCAGCTCACAAGGAGCTTAATCTCTGATATCACCTGCTGAGGTACTTAGAATGTGAGAGAATTTGATGACAGGTGTCAAGTTCTTCCTCATATTCCCCAGAAAATCAAATGGGGCCAGATTCCTCCCCTCCTGACTGACTCTGGTCATTTCTGTTTTGTCCTTCTCTGTGCCTGGTTGCCCACCATCAACAGGGACTTTGGTCAATAATGTCCGACTCCCAAGGGGTCATAGGCTAGAGTTGAGTGATGGTGACCTTCTGACCTTTGGCCCTGAAGGGCCCCCAGGAACCAGCCCCCCGGAGTTCTACTTCATGTTTCAGCAAGTCCGCGTCAAACCTCAAGATTTTGCTGCCATTACCATCCCTCGGTCTAGGGGAGAAGAGGGAACCAGGGCTGGTTTTCGGCCCATGCTGCCCTCCCAGGGGGCTCCACAGCGCCCCCTCAGCACCCTCTCCCCTGCCCCCAAAGCCACGCTGATCCTCAACTCCATCGGCAGCCTCAGCAAGCTCCAGCCCCAGCCCCTCACCTTTTCCCGGAGTGGGGGTGGGCCACAGAGCCTGCCTGTTCCCACTCCCCCTGGGGAAGTGGGGACCACCCCTTCTGCCCCACCCCCAAGGAATCGGAGGAAATCAGCTCACCGAGTGTTGGCAGAACTGGATGATGAGAGAGAGGGTCCCGAGAGCCCTCCACCAGTCCTTACAGAGCCCAGGAAGAAACTCCGTGTAGAGAAAACCCCACTTACACCTAGTGGGTAAGTAGAGAGATCTTTCTCTTAATATTTCACTGCCTTTTGATTCATTTTTAGAGCCCCAGGCTGGGAGGTGGCCCTCTGCTCAGGGGAGGGAGAGGGGGATGGGAGGTGGACAGGAGTGGAACAGATGTTGGAATGGCAAGACCTGGGTTAGCTCTGCTAACCAGGTTCACCATTAGTCTAGTGAGTCTATCTAGGTTCACTCTGGTTATCCAGGGGACAGTTCTAGGCTTCTACAGTTTCTAGTGACCCTGGTTTTTGTGTCACTTTCTTCAGAAATCGACGTGGGCGTCCTCGGAAGCACCCAGTGAGCACCCCCATTGCTCCCCCCGCAGTTGGGGGTGGGGAGCTCTGTGCAGCCCCTTGTTGCTGCCTGCCCCAAGAAGAGACAGTAGCCTGGGTTCAGTGTGATGGTTGTGACGTCTGGTTCCATGTGGCCTGTGTTGGCTGCAGCATCCAGGCTGCCAGGGAGGCCGACTTCCGGTGCCCAGGGTGTCATGTAGGCATCCAGACCTAAGGCCACCATCACGGCACCAGAGGACAGAGCTGGCACCTCCAGGCCACGGGTGGACACAGTGGTGTGCCAATGAGTCCTAAGAAATGCCCCTTCTTCCCTTGCCTCCCCAGGAGGGAATGACTACAGGGGAAGGGTCCATTGCTATGGATATCGATTCGAGGCCTGGAGCAGGCCCTCATGGCCAAGGTGACAGAAGAGATGGTTTCCTACCAAAGATATTGCTGCCTGCAGGGAGTTGCCAGAGAGCTGGAAATTCCCACTGTTACAAGCTGCAGGTCCTTGTCATGGACATTAGAACGTCTGTGGTCAGAGCAACCAATTGCAGAGGCCATGCCTTGAAAGATGTAAGCCCCTGAATGGAACAAGCAAGTTCTTAATGTTGTTGGATGGCACCACCTAAGGCATTCTGGAAAGACCTAGGCCATAGCCCCAAAACTTCCTTAAGTTGTGGGTAGTCTTGCCACTGACCATGATGATCGTGACCTGGCTTTTCAGAACTTTGCTTCCATTTCCAAATAAACAATGAGCAGCTTCATTCACTCCTAGGCATTTACTCTTTTTGTGATACTCCTTGCTTTTCAATTCTTGGGAGAATGGACTTGGTAAGGTTTGGAAAACAAATTCAGAATCTCAGGGGAAGAGAAATGAGCAGACAAGGCACAGAGAAATATGAACCTACTCACTGAAAAGCTGCAAATATATGGAATGAGCTGGAGGTGGGAGACAGGAAAAAAGGAATCCAGGTAGTTAAGGTTTCTAGTTTAAAGGAAAACAGATCCACTGCCATTTAAATCAGGTAGTTGGAGTTTGGTCAAGTTCAAGAGGGTGGCAGAACTTTACCAAGTTTCACCAGTGCTACTAGGTAAAAGAGAAAACCTGGTACACCTGCCAGAGCAGATGCTGGACCTGGTCCAGTGTGGATCAACCTAACCAATGTACAGTACATTGATTCTCTTCTGTGAGCTGTACACCAAGATATTTTCAAAGCAGCATTTCTATAGTTCTTACTAGGAAAGCCTTATCTTGACCTATTCTATTGAAACCTGCGTGTTCATCCCCTTCTGTCCCTTAGACTTACCAACCCAAGTGTTTTCCACATCAAGGAAACAGCCCCAGAGCAAGGGCCCCGATTAGGTAGTGGCAAAGCCAGGACTAAAACATGGGGGTTTGGTAAGTCACTTATGGACAGGGTAGGCAAAAACCTTAAGTGGAAACCAAATGAACCCTGGCATCAAGAAAGCACAAAGTAGAGTTAATATAAGGCGATATACAGAAGTATCTAAAGACTTGATTACCTAGTATAAAGCCACTGAGGACTTCCAGAATAGAGTGGGGAAAGCAAAAAGCCAGCTCCTAATAGCTAATGGGCTACATGGTAACTGCATGTGTGGGTAAAAATAAGGCGTTCAACTCAAATTTCCCCAGGACCCCACCTCATGGGCTCCTAATTAGCTCATGCCTATAAGGTCCTCTCCAAATAAACTTGGATTCCAATCCCAGCCCTCCCTCTTATGTGTGACTCTGAGCAGTTTAAATGGTACCTTGGTTTCAGGGCCATTTGGGTCTTAGCTGTTACTATCTACTATTGGGTACTGGGTATCCCCCCATCACCTCTTCAGTAACTAAAGAAGAAACCAAAGACAAAAGTATCCATCCACTGTGTCCCAGGCTTCTTTATTTAAGAACAAAGTGATGAGTGATGTGGGGATTAAAATCAAGAGCATCATTGAACTTCACCTTCCCTCCAACCAGTTCCCCCAACTCCCTGCCCCCACACCCTTTGTGTTCCCAATTCCTTTCTTAGTGAATGAAGAACTTGATCCCAAAGCCCTGGCAGGAACCCCAGGGTTCTCTTTCCCTAGCTCTCCCCTTTCCTCTGCCCCTCTTCCTGAGAAGGGCAGGCTACCTCAGTTTGAGTGCATAGGAGAGCCCAGAGTGGTGACAGACACAGAGGGAAAGGTCTCACCCTCAGGGAAAGGGACCGAGGAGTACAGCGTAGTAAAGTGAGGGCCCCCATAGCCTGGGGTACCAAAATGGGGCCCTGGTGCTAGAGGAAAGGATACCGGTCCCCCTGAGAAAGGAGACCCAGCAGCCTCAAAATCCTCCCGTTGCGAATAGTCATTGCTTGATCGTTTGCCCTTCTGACGACGGTTGCAGAACCACACTCGGACCACCTGCAAGTGGAAGACACAAGGGAGAGTGACATTTGACCCTAAGCTCCAAGAGGTGGGTCAGGCTTGGCTTGGTCATTTGGCCCAAAGCCAACAGACTAGAGGCAAGAGGCCAGGAGCCAGAGCTAGGGGAAGGGAGGTAGAGACTGGGGAGGAGGAGACGGAGCACACACTCACGTCCTTCTCGAGCCCGAGCTGCTGGGCGATGTGGCTGATCTGCTGCAGTGTGGGTTTCGGGCACTGCAGGAACATGTTCTCCAGGTTGCCTCTCACTCGGTTCTCAATACTAGTTCGCTTTCTCTTTCGGGCCTGCACCAGGGTCTCTGCTTTGCATATCTGTGCAGGTGGGGAGGGGGTGACAAGGAAGGAGATGGGAGCGCAAGTTTTGAACCTGCTGAGCAACGGCACCATGGGGTCAGTGACTCAAGAGCAAATTGCTAAGAGGGCATTGGATGTGTCACCAGAGCCAGATGGTATGAAAAAGGAGGATCTTGGAAGGGTGGGTTTAGACCAGTGACTCCCAGCAGAATTGAGGAATTGCCCTCCATCCCACTGAGGACTACTGGCCTTAGGAAGGAGAGCTGCAAGCCAGGGATGGAAGCAATGGAACTTGGGCTGAGCCTTGGCACGTCCCTGTGCATCCCTCCGACCCTCACCTCCTGTAGATTTTCGTTGTTGTCAGCTTCCTCCACCCACTTCTGCAGCAAGGGCCGCAGCTTACACATGTTCTTGAAACTGAGCTGCAGAGCCTCAAAACGGCAGATGGTCGTTTGGCTGAACACCTTCCCTGGGGAGGTGGGTTGAAAGATACAAGGTGAGGCAGCAGGCAGGGCCCTCGTGACCCCAAGACCCAGGCCTCGCTGCCCTCTTCCTGCCTTCACAAGATCCCACACCAGGGTCCCCCTTCTTCCGAGAGGGAACTCAGAGCCCAAGTATCGTTCCCCCTCCCTCCCTACCCTCTTTATGGGTGAGGGTAGAGCCTGCCCCTGAAACACCCTCTGCTCACTGCCTTGGTGGGGAGATGTGGTCCACGTGTTCTGTGGTCAGAATATGCTGAGGGAGACCCACCAAAGAGAACCCCCAGGGTGAGCCCCACATCGGCCTGGGTGTATCCCAGGGTGATCCTCTTCTGCTTCAGGAGCTTGGCAAATTGCTCGAGGTCTTTCTGCAGAGCTTTGATGTCCTGGGACTGCATTAAAAGAGGCAGAGGACGTGTAAGAACATAAACACACCAGTTATTGACCCGTCTTCTATTTGGGCCCCAAGGAATGGCCTGTGAGAGTATCTCTGCCTCCAGGCTGCCCACCTAACATCTAGAAATAACCTGTATACAAACATCATTCACCCCAGAAAGCAACACATCCATTAGATGCAGAGCACCATGCAAGGATGCAAAGACAGGCCCTGGCCTCAACGAGAACACCCATCAGGTTATGAAGGGAGCTCCTGCCTATTTAGCCCACTTAATACTCACAAAAGCTTTTTGACTCAAGTATTACCCCCAGGTTGAGAAAGTTTTGAGACTAGAGAAATAAAGAGCACCCGTATTGCTCTGATTCTCATTTCAATATACATCCTCTCTCCAGCTTGCTTCGAGGGTCAAACTGATAGGGCACACATACACAAACAAACACACTACAAAAAGAAACAAGTATCATAAGAGGTATGAATAAAGTGCCTTGTATATAGTTAGTGCCTCAGTTTTTTAAAAATCTGATTATCCCTTATTTTAACTGTATCTTTTTGTAACATAGAAGCATCTTCATTGATTAATTCTACAGATTTACTAAGCACCTTCTATAAGCCAGCCACTACACGAAGGAGACAAAAAGCCCTGGCCTCTTAGAACTTCCATTCTAATGTGGAGAGACAAATAATGATTATCCAACGTGTTGGTGTGTTAGGAGCGCTATGGAAAACAGTACAGCAGGGTAGGGCATGCTGGGCGAGGTGACAATTTTAAGTAAGATAGTCAGAGAAGGTGATGTTTGAGCAAAGGGAAAGAGCCCAGTGGAAAGGCCCTGAGGTGGGTGGGCCCCTGGAGCAGCCAGGCCTGCGTGGCTGGAGCAGGGTGAGTGGACGGAGGGAAAGGAAGAGGGGAGGGGAGGAGCTGATGAGGTCAGCAGTGAGCAGGGTGGATCCTGCAGATCTGCAGTGACTGTGGTTTGCTCAGTGAAATGGGGAGCCACTTAAGGGTGTTGTAGAGTGAAATGATCTGACTCTTACATTTTAAAATGTTCACTCCAGTTGACGTGTTGATAATAGAGTAAGGAGGAAATGAGGATATAACTAGGGAGGCAACTGCAGTATTCCCAGCATAGATGATGGTGGCTGGGACAGCGAGGTGATAAGTCATTGATTCAGGATGTATTTCCAAGGTAACAAAGCAGTGTTTCCAAAGGATTGGGTGGAGGATGTGAAAGGAATGAAGATGACTGGTTTGAGCCATGAGCTACTGGGTGATGGATGGGGTGGAGCAGCTCGGGGAGCCACCCCAGCAGGAGATAGAAAATGCAATAGTTGTGTCTATAGGTATATAAGCCTTGAGGGTGGATGAGAAGGAAAGGTAAATAGAGCAGAGGTTGATGGACGGAGCCCTGGGACACTCCAATGAAGGCAAGTGGCCAAGGGGAGCAGGAGAGCAGCCAGGCCTTTGTGTGGTCCTGGAAGCCCTGAGGGAAGTATTTCAAGGGTGATCAATCACATCAAATTCAAACAGGCTAACTTCCATTCTCAACTTCTGCTCAGCCAATATCTCAAACCTATAAATGTCCTCAGCTGTCCCCATGTCGGCTTTCCAAATCCTATTTTGGGGATTTGAAATAAGGTAAACCCCAGTTCAGATCCTTGCTTCATCATTTAGCCGTTGAGACCCGTGAAACAGGCTAATAATACCTCCCTAGGAGATTTTGTGACGGTTAATGAGCTAATGATGTAGGAACTGAGCACACAGCCAGGCACTTAGGAAATGGACCACAATTGGCAGCCATTATTATTCAAGGCCCAGCAGTTGCCTCATGCAAAGAGTCTAGGGCTACTGGGGTGGCTGAAACCACTCACACCTCCTTTAGAGAGGCCTAAAGGCTTAGTACTTGATCTCTAATTGCTTACACTTGTGTCTTCAGCGGCCTGGGAGACACTCTTAATAGGCCCCAGCAGGGCTGGCCGTGGAAGTCCTCAATCCCTCAGCAAACTCGACATTTGGGGAATGGCCTAGAGATGACTTCATCCACTTTTTTTTCTTGGCTCACAACAGTGGAATTAAGGCTGAAATTGGTACTTCCAGCTCTCTACAAGGGGGTGCCAGGGTGTGTACTTTGCATAATGGTGACTCACTGGCCCCGAGGCAGAGGTCAAGGGAAGACAAGGCCTAAATCTGACGGCAGGTAAACCCAACTCCACATGTCCACACACACAGCCCGAACTGGAGCTTATATCAGAAACCAGTCACACCCTAGACCTTCAGGAACAATAACCTCAGGATAAGCACTGTTTTTACCCTCAGGCCACGCTTAACCCTAACGCCAAGATCCTGGGTCTGATAAGGATAATGTTTTCAAGCAGGACTCAGGGTGGGAGAAGAGGCTCAAACCCCAAACTAGGTCTGGTGCTGGGCTGGTGAGTGAGTGACCAGACCCTGGTCAGGCCTAGGAAGGGGAAGGGACCTACTTGACAAGGGCTAGGCGGGAAGCAAGGCCAGCTTGGGCCAGCTTCCAACTCCCCCAGGCCACCCCTGCCCTCACCTGCGGTTCTCCCTGAATTGACTTCTAGTTCTCACCTCGCCCCTGCTCTCAGGACTGTCTGCAGTCGCCACACACCCCTCTCTGCCTGGGGTGCCAGCCATGCCTGCTCCTGTCTTGGGTTCCAGGCCTAGACAGCTGCAGCGACCGCTTCCCCCTCCCACAGCCGCCCCTGCCAGCCTGGCCACTCTCCCACCCCCGCTGCAGCTCACTTGCCTCCTCAGGGTTTTGCTCCAGCTTCTCCTTGTCCAGCTTCACGGCACCAGTGGGGGCAGTGCAGGGCTCGGGGGAGGCCCCCTCGGAGTTGCTCTCCACCCCTGCTCCCGCCTCACCCTCGGGCTGAGAGGTCTCCAGGCTGCCTTGGGGCACCAGCCCCACTCCAACTTGAGGTCCACAGTATGCCATCCCTCCGCAGAACTCATATGGCGGGGGGCACGGGGGAATCCCCCATACCTCAGCACCCGGCCCAACCCCCGGCCCAATTCCTGACCCACCAGGAGGGCCCTGGAAGCTCAGCCAGGTCCGAGGGTCAACCCAGCCCGGCTCCGGCCCTCCTGGCCCATCGCCTCCACCGCCCGGTGGGGGTGAGAAGGCGAAGTCGGAAGCCAGGTGTCCCGCCATGGGGAAGGACGGCGCCCCAAGTCGGGGGCCTGGTAAAATGAGGGCTCTCCAAGGGACTGCTCAACACCTCTCTCCCTCCCCAATCCCACCCACTAGCCTTGACCTCTGGCCCCGCCCCCTGGATGGGTGGAGAAGAGGGCGGTGGGGGTGGGAGAAACTGAGGCGAACAGTGTTGGCCTGACGGTGGCGGTGGTGTCTGTGGTAGGGGAAAGCCAGGGAGCTCCAACCTGGCACCTCTCCAGACCCCAAGGGCCTTGGTGCAGGTCCCCCATGCAGACCTTCTCTTCCAACTCCCAACAGGCTGCCCGGCCCTCTCTTGGGCTTTGCACACCTCAGAGCTATCTGGGATCCCTTCCATCCCTCCTCCACGTTCTTCAGGAGCTCAAAGACCCCGGCACCTTCTCCTCACTGGGGCCCGGCCACCCTCTCAGATCCTCAAACATTTATTGTGTACATGCCAAATACTGCTGGGGCTACCCCTCAATTCCTTATTAACCCACCCACTGCTGTCCTCACACACCCCCAACCCAGGAACCTAGGCATTCCCATCCAAATTACTGGCCAGATTCAGTTACCCCAAAGGCGCGGATGCTCAGCCTGCTAAATTCCATCCCATCACCAGGGACAGACAGGGCCTCCCTTCCATATCCTGAGTCTTCCGGCTCCAGAGCCCCCTCACCTACCAGACCAGGAACTGACGCCCACTTTCCCTTCTAGGGGCCAGGCTCTGGACTGGACTGAATGTGCCCGAGTTCCCCAACCTTTGTCTGGACTGAGGGCTCGAACACCCCCTCATGGGGTCCCCCACTGTGGGACCCGCACATCAGGTTCCCTGTCCCCACTTCAGGGACCCAAATATCTAGTACCTAGTTGGTGTTCTCCCTCCCCCACCTCCGCAGCCCAGCCTCCAGCCCTAGGCCCTGGGTGGGGAAAGCCAAGGAGGGAGGGGGGAGAAAAAAATATCTGACTTCAGGTTCAAAGAGGCTTGGGAGGGACTGGGGGGAGGGGGCAGGACAATGGCCTTGGCTGGACAATCCTGGTCCCCAGAGGGGGCAGCTCTAACCCTAAACAAGTGCTCAACCCTTGAATGGGCCTGGATGGCTCCCCTGGGGACAGCTTCCTGCCCCCCAACCCCCCAGCCCCAATCCCCTCACACAGAATCCCCCTCGGATCAGCTAAAAGAGCTCCACAACCCCCTCAATCCCCCTCAAAGACTGAGCCTCAGACAGGGCCCCCCGCTGGCACCTAGGTATCCTGCTCCCCTTCCTCTGGAGGATTCGGGAGGCACGCCTCGGCATCCACCCCTCCCCCAGCCCCCAGGCCTTGGGATGTGCTTTGTTTGGGGGGCTGGTGGAAAGATGCAGAGGGGGTGGAGGGCGATTTGGGGAGGGGGTGCAGGAAGCCTGCCCTAAGCTCTCCCACAGGGTCCATGTTTCTGGGCTTGTCCTGAGGGCTCATGCTGCTGGCCAAGTGCTCGATTCTGTTGGCAAGAGAATAGCCCTCAGAGTGCCCGTCTGTGAGGGATGATGTATGTCTGTCTACTCCCTAAACTTGCCCCACATGGAGGACCTGGGGTGAATTAGGGGGCCCTGGAAAGTCTCTGGACCAGAGCTCCCTACCGTTTAGAAGGCTGGAATCCTGAGCCTGGGACACTGACCTCTGCCGACCTGAGGCATCTCTTCTTCTCAGCCCTGTCTGGGGTTGTTTGCGGGGTCAGTGGCTCAGTGTCTACCTTTTGAGGGGCTTGGTGTCCCGGTGGGGGCACTCCTGACTGCCGCCAGCTGTCTTCACCTTGGTGGTATCTATGAGTCTTCTGAGCCTGTTTTTTAATCCTCTGAGTCTGTATCACACAGCCCTGTTCCTGGGCCCATCTGACTGCACTTTTTGGACAACTAACTGCACGCGTGCATTTCGATACTCGACAGAGGTCCGTTGGAAGATCTGCAGGGCAGTGGGGCTGGAGCTGTACTCACCTCTGAGCCACCAACTGCCCAAAAGGCAGATAGATTAAGGGGCCTGGTGGGGGTGGAGAGATGTGCTTTGGAATAGGAGGGGCCCCTCCCCAGTCATCTCCCCAACCCCCAGGACAGAGCCATCACGGCACCTTTGTCATGCATCTATCTGCTGTCTGCCAAGAAGACAGCCTCCCAGAGAAGGGGGAGGGGCAGGGCTAGGAAATCTCCAACACCAGTGCTCCTCGGCTCACCACCCTCTGGGCTCCGAGAAACCCCTCTCCCCAGGCCAGTCCAGGGAGCCCCTGCTGCCCCTGCCTTCCCAGGGCTCCTAAAACACCTTCCCCAATTTTACCACTCAGTCCTACTCTCTTATTTTTTTTATTACAATTTGTAGTTGCTCTAGGTGGTATGTTTCTGGCCTGGGCAAGAGGCCTGTTCCAGAGAGAGCCAGGGGAGGGGTGGGTGCCTGGGTCCCTGGCTGGCTTGTGGCTGGACATCTGAGCCAGGTCAGTCCTGTGCTTGCCTGGAGTCTGACCCAGCACCTTCACAGCAGGGTAAGTTTGTCTGGAGTCCTAACCAGCCCCTTCCTGGGATGCTCTGAGCTGACTGAGGCTGAGACATGCTCCCCTCCCCCTTCGCCACTCCTGCTAGGCCTGAAGGGTAGGTGGCTTCACTTCTGCCCAGGCCAGCTTTCTGCAGGCCTGGAGGAGACTGAAGCAAGGTTGAGTCCTCTGGTCTGGCTCCTCGACTCTCCTGGGTCTTAGAGAGTCACTAAAAAGCCTCCAGGCCCAAAACCAATTTAGGACTAGGCTCACAAACTCTCCACATACACTTTTATTATAGTGTAATGTCAAGGCCCTTCACAGAGACAAAATGCAAGTATCTGATTGCAGAGCATGCTGGGAGACCGAGGGAGGGCAGGTGAGATCCACCTGTCCCCAGGTGTGGCTGACCAGCATGGCTGCAAAGAGGTGTGATGGTGGCTTTGCTGCTGTCAGCCCAGCCATCCCCTCACTCCAGTATGGGGTGCTGGTTGGTTAGGAAAACCAGCTGAAAGAGCTCAGATGGGGACCAGTGGAGACTTGCTCTAGACCAGGGTAGCAAACCACTTCTTTGACTTATGGGTTCTGTTAATCTGAAGGCAGGAGAAAGGGAAAGAATGGAGGGCTGAGATGAGAAGGCTTGGCCCACTTTGGGAGATTATCTCCCTTCATCTCATTTTACACATATTCCACTACTCACTATAAACCAACCCCCTCTTCTCAACAGTTGACCCTCTGTCCTCTCCCACAAGGTCCACAAACTGAAGTCTTCTTTTCCCAAACTCAGACACTCTTACCTCAAATCAAGGAGTCAGCTCTCTGGTTGTAGTCTGCAGGGAAGATAGAGAGGTGAGAGGGTGAGGGTGGGGAAGCCAGGAGAAGTAGTCAGGAACAAATAGACCAGGGTTCTAGGCCCTGACTCTGACTCCCCAGCTGATGGCACCTCCCCATTCTGTGCCTCAGTTTCCTCACCTAACAAAGAGGTGTTGGTCTAAATGAACTCTAAATTTCCTTCCAGCCCCGACATAAAATTGCTGCCCCACTCCTATACCCTCTCCTGTCTACCCTCACCACTTACTGGACATGGGAATACAGACTTCTCTCTGTACACCTGCGAAGAGAAATTGGGGTTGGGGGGGTTGGGGAGGAGGGACTCAGTGAGACGCTGGCAGGGGCCTTCCCGCACCTCACCTCCACTTCTAAGCAGCCTTCCTAGGAATCTGGCAGGTTTTCCCCTTGAGTTTGATCGAGTTATGTGTGAGGAATTTGGGAGGCCAGTTTTGATTCAGTTTTCAGTGCTTGGGAGCTTACAAGAAACACACTTAAGGAGGTAAAACTTCTCATGGAAGACAGAGACAGAGGTGTGTGTGTGCACACGTACATGCGTGCATGTATGCGTGTGTGTGTGTGTGTGTGTGTGTGTGTGTGTGTGTGTGTTGGGAAGGAGACAACCCAGACCAAAGGATAGAGAGGAAATGGAAATCCCAACCTACTCCCTCCTCTTTTCATATGCCCTCAGTTGCTCTTTAAATCACTGCTCTGGGGCTTCAGCCTCCCAGAGAGAGAGAGGCCAGATGATCCTTAAGGTTACTTCCGGCTCTAAAATTCTGAGCACATCTGCCGTCCTGCCCTTCTTCCACTTCTTCCAGAGGAATGTGCCTGCACCTCCCACAATGAGCCCACAGAAGATCCAGAAGGGGGGGTGCTTAGAATGGGGAGGCTCTGAAAGGTGAGGGCATGTGGGCCACTGACAGACCAGCCGGACTCCCCAGCCTCCTACCCCACAATTCCCAGGGCCACCCTGGCTGCTCAGCTGAGGTCCGGCAGAGAGCCAGCGTCGGCCTGGTGCTCCACCAGCCAGGAGAGCCTCTGCTCATGTCAAAGGGCATCTCAGTGGACTGCTGGCTCTAAGCAGTCCCATTCCCCTGGGATCAGGTGGTTTGAAGGTCCCGGGACTCAGAGTTTAGGGGCAGCCCATCTCTCAGCTAGGTTGGCGGGACTACTGGAGAACAGAATCGAAGGACCTTTCAGGGGCTTTGTAGGGTCACACACACTGAGAGGACTAGTAGGACAGGGAGGAGTGGTGGTAAAGGAGACCTAAAGACCTCCTAGACCAGGGGAGACTTGTTGCCTCTGGTCTTGCCAAACTGCCGTGCATCACCCTCCACTCCAGGGCCTGGGCCACCACCCAGGCCCTATTCACACTGCATTCCAGGGTGACCATTGGTCATGCCCCGCCCTGAGTGCCCTTGGGTGCTAAGCCCTGGGTCAGCACTTGAACACCAAGTGGAGAAAGGGCTGACCAAATATGTGTGAGAGAAGACAAAGCAGAATGGCTAGGCTGGTCAGCGATGGAACTATGCTCACAAAAGACACAGGTAATGTGATGGAGTTTCTCTGAGGCTGGCTCAGAGGCCTGCCCTCCCATCCCTCCCCACAGTGCCCTCAGCCCCTCCACCTTTCCCACACTGATCAGTCCGCACCTATCACTCCTATGGTAGGCTGGGGCCCCACCCCAGCTTCCAGGTATTTCCAGAGAGTGTAGATGCAGCCCTGGGTCAGGAAGGATTGCTCTTTTCCCTTCTCCCATCTGCAGGTCTGGTTTTTTCTGGATTGCTTTTGCTGGAGTTGGAAGACCCAAGTGTGCTGAGAAGAAAGTCCCGGCCATCGTAGTTGTATCGCCAGTATCCCCCACTGTTCTGGTTCCCCTGCAACTCTCGCAGACCACTGTGGTCTGGAGGGTGTGTGACTCTGAAATGCCAAAGCCCCAGAGCTCCAAAGTTACAGGACAGCAAAACAGTGGCATTCTCCACCTCCACTCCCACCACTTCCCAAAATGCCTGGAATTCCCTTCTCCAACTGATAAACTCTCACTCATTTCCCAAGATGTATCTTTTCTGTCATGTACAGGCCAGCCAAGTCATGCTGCACCCCACCCTCAATCCCCTGCAGCAAGTGGCTCCCTCCTGCATTCTCAACATGCATTGCTCATGCCACAGTTATGGTACTGACCACACTGTATCCTCGTGGCTATACACCCCACCACACTGAGCCCTCCTGAAGGCAGGGACCCATGCCCTGTGCCCAGCACAGCATCATGTTTAAATCCCAGATCTAAATGCCACTACTGGCTATAATGCCCACAGCAAATGTAACTGAACCTCTCTAATGCTCACTTTCCTCATCTGGGAATTGGAGATAATAATAGTCCTTACCTCATAAGTGAAGATCAAATGAGATAGTACAGGCCAGTATTAATGTAAAACCTGCCAATCAGAATTCAAGAAGTAGTAGCTGCTAT